AATTCTGGGAGAGTTGAGAGTGTGAAGATTCAGGTGGGAGGATCTACCCAGGGAGGTGTGAAGAGATAGACACATGGTACCTGAGCACACATGGTACCTGAGCACAGGTAACCAACCACATGGCAGAACGTAGGTTAAAATAATTGGGTTATTTTAGTCATGATCTAGTCATAGTTATATGGCCAAGATATTTGTAAATATATTTTGAGTCTGAGTCTTACTTCTGAGAGCATGGGCTGGGAGGACTAACCAGGCCTCAACTTCTACAAAATTATATTAACAACACAAACTTGTAATAACGCATAATTATTTGTCTGTTTGTTTTTACATTGGAAAACATGGACAATGAAGCTAGAATCATCATTTACTGGCTGCTCTTCTAGGGCACTTGAATTTGATTCCCAGCATCCACATGATAGTTCACAATTTTCTGTAACAATAGGTCTGAGGAATCTGTCACCCCCTTTTGCCCTCTTCATGTACTGCACATGTGTGGTGTGCAGATGTATGTAGATAAAACAGTCATACACATAAAATCCTTTTTTAAATTTTAATAAATGAAATGTGGACAATATTGTAAGGCTGCTGGGTAACAAGCCACGTGTACGATTTTATCAGATGCATTGCTTCAGGGTTCTATAGTTGTTGTTCTTGGGGTTTTTTGTTTTGTTTTGTTTTGTTTTGCTTTGAGTTAAATACTGTTCATTCTTAGTTCATCCTTAGTTACTTGTTTTGACTGATACCTTTTCCTTTCCCTCCTAGGTAGGACTGAAGATTCTAGAGTCTGTTGGATGGACATCAATTACAGGCCTAAACTCAAAGATGTCAAGTCCCAAGCCTTTAGGCTAGAATATGGGACTTTGTAGGATAATATTTTCTCCCATCCCCACCCAAGACATACACAAAGAAGATTAAATACTAATTACATTTCAAAGATCCAGAGGCACACTGGGAAAATGTTCTCAGAAGGTTACTCTGCCTAGGAAACTCAAAAGCTAGAGATAAAAAAATGAGAGAACAACAGAAATAGACAAGCATTTATAATAACATCCTTGTGTGGACCAGATTCATGTCTCAGTTCTGTAGCTGCTCCTAAAATGGCCATGGCTAAGAGTTTGTCTCAGGTACCAAAGGTAAGCTGTGAAAGATACTTTTGAAAATGTTTCTGAGATCACTCAAGGTTGTTAAAGAGCTTAGCCTCATGACACAGACCTGTAATCCTATTTCCAAGGTTGGGGCAGGAATATTACAAGTTCAAGGCCAGCCTACACTGGTGCATAAGTTGAAATCCAGCCTAAGTAACTCAATGAGATTCTTGTCTTTGAATTTTGTTCACAAAGGGCTAGGGATATAGCTTAGAGGAAAAAGTATTTGCATAGCATAAATGAGGTTCTAGGTTCAATCACCATTACCACAAAAATAAAAAGGAGGAAGAAAAAGAGGAGAAAGAGAAAGAAGATAAGAAGAGAATTACAAGAGAATAATAGTGGTGAGGAAGACATCACTTGTAGATAGGGGTCTACGTGGATTCAAAACTGGGATGGCAGGTGTCTTTGTTAGGGTTTTGTTGCTTTGAGCAGACACCATGACCAAGGCAACTCTTATAAAGGAAAACATTTAATTGGGTCTGGCTTACAGGTTCAGAGTTTCAGTCCACTATCATCAAGGCAGGAAGAATGGAATTGTCCAGTCAGGTATGGTGCTGGAGAAGGAACTCAGAGTTCTATCTCTTGTTCCGAAGGCAAACAGAAAGATTGACTTTCAGGAAGCTAGGAGGAGGGTCTTAAACCCCACGCCTACAGTGACACACCTACTCCAACAAGGCCACACCTCCTGATAGTGCCACTCCTTGGGACAAGCATATTCAAAGCACCGTAGAGGGGCAGACTTTGTGGGACTCAGAGGCTAACCAACCTGCTTGACTTTGAATCGAGGTGGCCACATTATTTAACTTCTCATGCTCTGGTTTCCTTTTCTGTGAAATGAGGAAAAAAATACTTTATTCGGTGCTTTGTATGGTAGCTTTTGTAAACATGTTTACTAATTAAGTACTACATGTTGATTGGTGAATTATAAGAACCTAGTTTTAAAAAAACTATAGAAATTTAGAAGAACTTAAGCTACATTTGTATCAAATCCTTGATTTCTGAACAGTAACTACCCTGGCACTGAAGAAAGCATTCAGGGTACCCAGGACCACATTGAGTTGTAGCAATAGGACAAGAGGATATGTTCTCAAAACCTTAGCCTAGCTGCCTGTCGACCACATTTGCCATGTGAGGAATTATAATTTTTATTTTTGCTTATTTTTTCTTTATTGAAAATTCCTACAAGACATCCCTTTTAGGGCTGACTGATTCAAGGTCTCTCACCCTCTGCATAATGTCTGACTGTGTGTCTCTGTAGTTGTTCTGTTGCAGAACCTTCTTCTCTGATGTTGGCTGAGCTAGGCATGGATCTATGGGTATAGCAAATGTCATTGTCATGAGGAGTCATTTTGTCACTATGTTTTTTGCTCATTTCTTTGTTTTTGTTTTGTTGTTTGTTTGGTTAGGGTTGTTTGTTTTTGTTTTTTTCCAACAAGTAGTATTTGGTTTTAACTTTACCCATAGGTCCCTGGGTTATCTAGTCTCTGGTTCTGACTGAAGAAGTGTCAGCCATGGGTTCCATCACGTGGACTGGGCCTTAAGTCAAATCAGATATGGGTTGTATACCTCTACAAGCATTGTGCCACCATTGTCCTAAGATATCTTGCAGGCAGGACACCATTGTGGACCAGAGGGTTTGTGGCTGGGGTGGTGTTTATGTTTCTCTTTTAGTCCTTTCCTTTATCAAAGACAGTAGAACATAAGGATGAAGGCTCTGTGTAGGTGCCAGCTCAACTTCTTCATGTTCAATGAGTTGTACAAGTGTTGTCTTCAGCCATGGGGCTTTAATGTCAGTTTATGAAGAGCAGCCTATTTGTCTTGGCAATAACTTGGATTGTTGGGGATTCCCATGGGACACCTCTAGCCAACAACTGAATTAGAAATAACACTATTTTCATTGTAATATGTTTTGTTGGAACTAAAGTATACTATGTAGCCATATTTCACTAGGAATATGTGAGATTAAATAGGAGATGAGAATATCCAGTCAATAGAAAAGAAAGAAAATAAAACTATATAATCTAATGATACTCAAACATAGACTTCTCTAATTCCATAGGGGATAATAGACACATAAAGCCACCAAGGCCATCTCTCCACTCTTCTCTTTCATTTTATTATTTTCTGAAAATTTGGGCATCATCAATGTTATTAGCACTCACTATGAAGCTGAAGATAACCTTGAACCTCTGATACCCCACTCCTTACCTCCACTGTCGTGATCACTGGCCTGTGTCACCATATCCAGTTTATGAGGTGTTGGAGATTGAATCCAACACCAGGCAACCACTTTATCAGCATAGCTATGCTACAATCCTTCAAAACTATTTTATGGAACTACAATTAGAGGCTTGTAATTAGTTTAGTAGTGTGAGACATGCTTGGATTAGATTTCTGTGTCACTTGTACTTCTGGTTGAGCTTTGGCTTCCTCTTATATGGGGTAGGAACAGTGTTAATCAGGACGTCCACTTTTGACACAGTGCTTGCGATATTAGGTCTAAAAATTCTACTGATTATCAACGCCTCACAGCTCATACATGCTCTGTTACTTGTGCTGTAACTCTAATAGTTTCTTGTGAAATTTAAAAATCCAGTGTTTTCATTGTCTTTAATGTGATCATTTGTTCCTACCTGAACTCCAGCACCTTGGCGCTGGCCTTGGACTGAACTGTTAGTTCGTCTCCTTCTTTGGGTGAAGTAGAAGATTTTGATGCTCAGTTGTCTACGGTTCCTAGAGATGGCCTCAGCAAATGCTCTGATGGAGAAATAGCTGTGTGTTAAGAGTGCTTCCCAAGAACAGTTGATTTCTAAGGCACCTATGTAGAGAAAGGGAGTTTCCCATTAGTTCTGGGGAGCAAGAAAATGCCAAGTAGTAAGAATCTCAGGTTTGAGGTCTTTAAAAGGTTATCTTTTTCAATGAATCTTAAAACTTGGCTCTAGAATTGCCTCTCTCTCACTGTCTGGTGAACTAAAGGACAACTTTAGCTGTCATGTGGTTTCATGCTAACATCCACCATAAGAAGGTTGGTATTTCTTACAAAGCTAATGGTGCAAGATCCTAAAAAAATCTAACAGTCATTACTGTTTCATTTAGGGGTGGAAATAACGCAGTAGAGGAGAAAATGCTCCCTTGCTAAAGAAGGACAGAGGGAAGAGAATCCAAGAAAACACCATGATGTGAATTCCACGTGACACAATGGAAAGGAGAAATTTTACCTTCATTCACTCGCTTGTTTTGGAAATTATATGTCCATATCTATATGGATATAGGTGTTCATATACATGTGTTATGTATGTGTTCATGAGTATGTAGATCTATCTGGTTTTGTACTGGGAGAAGGCATATGCATGTGTTGTGTCTGTATCAACCAAAGGCTGATGTTGAGTCTTTCCCAGTTTCACTTCACTGAGCCCAGATCTGGCTGGATTATTTGATCTAGCTAAGCAACTTGCCTCAAGAATGTTTGGTCTCTTCCTCCCAAGGGCACCAAGATTACACCCACCCAACATTTATATATATGAAACTAGGGATTCAACCCCAGGCAAAATGTTTGTACAACAAGTTCTTTACCTTCTGGCCCATCTCCTCAGCCCTGAAATACATTTAAAACAACTTTTTAATTACTTGTCACTGTGAGAAATTCACTGTGGGCCCACCATTATTATACAGTCTCTGCCTTAAGAAGCTCTCAAATCTAGAAAAGTAAAATGAACCAGCCCCCAGTAGGGCTGAATAGACAGCATCTCTCCAGCAAGTTGATAATGGGTAGAGTGGAGACAGCATTTCATGGAAGGCAAGTCTTGAGACAGGAAGAAATGAAGCTCAAGAGAAACACAGTACAAACTCCTCTGAAAAAGCCCAAAGAGTTTTAATACAGAAAGTGTTTGCCCTTCTAAAATCACACACAGGCAACATTTTGTATAATACATTGAACTGTCTTGTTCTTCAAAGTATCTTTTCTGAATCTAAATCATGATTACAAGATACATGAAAGGAAATATATTACTATGACAGGACTACTTAGTACTCTATGATATAATAGTATATGATTATAAAACTCCACACTTTATATAGTTTATGCAGTTAGGATAGGCAGGGTGCATGAACATTTTAGGTACGATTACCTGTTAGCTGAGGGGTACATACATTAACATTGTCTGTGTGTCTTCTGCTGTGAAAAATACATGGTGAGAGTTAAACACTAGTTACTATGCAGGCACTGCCGTATGGAAAATGCATCTTATGTTTCTATGCAGTATGAGTTAGAAATGCTCTCAGAGTCTCATGCTTGTGCCAGGAAGCTTGATGGTGCTCAGTGCTCTTCTGAACGATGCAAAACATCTCGAAGATCAAGTCCTGTGGATGCCATTACCTGTTTGCAGCAAGTCTAGTTTACGTATTAAACTAATTGCCCCGAAATGCTTTGGCCATCAGAGGAATCTTGAAATCAGGGAGCTGCTTTGGCACTTCATTCTCGTGGATGTCCTAACTCCCAATGATATTCACAGCTGAAAACGTGTTCTTCACGTACCTTTATCTTAAGCAAGACTCAATTAGGAGTTACAAATCCAGTCCTCTCAAAAAAAGAGAAAAAAAAAAAAAGATGCTGCCAAATGACTTCAGACTCTCTTTTGGCTCCAGCACATTCTAAAAGGTGACTTTTGTATACTGTCACCCTTGTAACAGACGAAGATGATGCTTAGCATGGAATGAAGGTAGTCCAGGGTCTTGGAAATCTCATCTGATCTTGAAAATCCAGTACCTTGAGAATACCAGGTAGGTACTGCTTTTGCAGTGAGCTCATGACACTACTTCAGAGAAGTTCACTCCAATAAATACAATATAAAAATCCTTGTCATACACATAATTTCACACACATACACAAAGATAGAGACGGATGAGACACACACACACACACACACACACACACACACACACACATCTAGTCAAAACTGTTGCCAGAAGATAGATTACAAAGTAATTAGATTGTCAAGTTATCATGGCAACCATCACAAAAGCAGTAAAACCCAACACAAGATGTCCTGGACTTTCCAAACCTGCTTCACTCCGTTCCCTGGGAGCACAGGTAAAGAAAGCATGCGGAAGGCTGTGCTTGTTTTTCCACAGATGTAGCCTGGGACCATATGTTCTGAGCAGCTTCAGATTTTTTCATTGTCGTTCATACTGATTTTTTTAAACGCGACTGGGCTTGCCTGCTTCAGGGAAGTCTTGGACACGTCCGTATGCATGGTAGACATGGCTATGGTCTCATAGTCATCGTCTCGAGACCGGAAGTCACAAAAGTTGAAGAAGAACTGCAAGTCTCTCTGGAAATTTTTGTTCAGGAATCCATAAAAGATGGGGTTGACGCAGGTGGAGATCATGGCCGTGAGGTGGCAGAGCAGGAACAGCAGATTGTGGTTGCAGGTGGCAATGATCTGGTGGTTCCAGTCGAACACAGTGTTGAAGATGGTAAGGGGCAGCCAGCAGACCGCGAAGGCGACCACGATAGAGAGCAGCATGATGTTGATTCGTTTGGTCTCACTGGACCTGTACTTACTGTCCCTGATCTTGTCCATCATGTTGTTTCTCCTTTTCAAGCGAATGTATATCTATGAAGGAAGGAAAGGGTGAGTTCAAGTACAACATGCACCTCCTGGGGAAGTCTATGCAAAGGAGGTAAGAAAGGAAATGGTTGGGGGAGGGGCCAATGGTTTTCTTACCTTGAAGTAGCATATAAATATGAAGCAGAGTGGGCCAAAATACTGCAGCACCAGAAGGAGCGTCGTGTAAGACAGCCTGTGAGAGTCTGACGGGAATTTGTCAAAACACACATACTTGTCCTTGAACGCCGGGAGTGATACATTTTGGAAGGGCTCGTCGGTCAGAATTTGATAGATCACGAAGGGCAGAGAAGAAGCCACTGCAAGGACCCAAATGACAGTAATGCCTATGTAAGCGTGTCTGTTGTTTGGTCTCCACCCTCTCGGGTTGATGATTAGCTGATGCCGTTCCACAGCGATGAGAACCAGCGAGAAAATGGATACCGTGATGGAGACACATTGTACAAAGGGATTCAGTTTGCACATGGTCTCCCCAAAGACCCAGTGGTCCATCAGTGTGTATACAAAAGTGAACGGCAGACACATGACCGCAACTAGCAAGTCTGAGAAGGAGAGGTTCACGATCAGAATGTTGGTGACATTTCTCATCTCTTTCTGTTTCAGGATGATTATGATCAATGCCAGGTTTCCAGAGACCCCAAGAATAATCACAGCCCCATAAGCAAGGGCCAAGGTGAATATCACAGCCAAGGGCAGGTGGCAGTCGTTACTTTCAAAAGCCAGAAGTGGAGAATTCTCTGAGGCATTATAGTGAAATGAGTGATTTTCAACCCGGGAGAACAGAGTTGAATTCATTTTTTTAAAACTTTTTGTTGTTGTTTTGTTTTTTGGTTTTTTGTTACCGCTTAGACAAATGGACTGTTATGGTTCTTCAAAACGGATCAAATCTTCAGCTGACTCATACTCCATATATTCTCAGTTCTTCATTCCCTTGAACTGAATACTCTGTCAACAAAAGAGGCCAGTTGCATAACTAAGTTTATTGAAGGCCATCAAAAGAAATTCTGTCTTACACAATTATAAAATTAAGGCACAGAAGGAAACAGATTTGAATCTTTTATAAAATTATAACCTTAAAAAAAAATTCCACAATCAGTACAAACCATTTCAGACATTTAAAGTCCAGCTAGAATGTTTTGGAGACATGGTCTCTCTCTCATGTAGCTGGCCTTGAACTCACTTTTTAGCTGAAGATGATCTTAGACATTTGATCTTTCTGTCTCTGCCTCATGAGTGATGGGATTACAGGCACATCTGATTTTATGACAGTGCTGAGGACTGAATCCAGGTATTCAAGCATAGCATGCTAGGCTACCGACTAGGCTACATCTCCCAGCTCGCCAGGAATGTCTTTAACTGGACTTGCTCACATGTTGACTTTCAGTGGTTTACACCTCAGTAAAGTGTTTGTAAATCTCATGCCTCCCAAGTGCTAGACAAATGGTGCCAACAGCAGACTCTCAGACATAGCAAGAATGCACATGTACAGAGAACAGCACACTGTACAGACGGAAACATGTAACAAAGCAAAACAACATAGAAGAATGTGTCAGGGAAGTGTTAGTGCAGACAGCATGCTGTGGTAACAGCTAACCATACACGGGGCTGCTTTGAAAGACAGATGCCATTTGACAAAAATCTTCACAAGGAGGTGACCTATACAATGGAGCATCAAGAAACTTGCCCTTTTGAGATACGGCTGCTGAAAAACTATGTGATGTTTAATGCAGACCATGCTTCAGAATGCAGAGCTGACTTCTTGTGTTTTAATAGGTGGCCTATAGGGTATATGGACAAGTTTAGTGGCACAGCCGATGAAATTAGAAATGGGACCAAAGGCTGTACATTATTTTTAAAAAATAATGTCACCATGAGGAACAAAATCTGAGTCAAATGGAACAAACTACTTGTCAAAGAACCAAGTGCTCCATACACAGATGTGCTGGCCAGTGCCTGAGGGCCACATCAAGGTTTGCATTGTGTGGGAGAGTCTAACTTTAACACACTATGATTTTGACTATCAGATTAGAAGACTTCAAAGAATTTCTAATGTTTCATCCAAGGAAATATCGTCTTTCCTCACTCAGCTATGTGAGTGTCCAATGCAAGGGTGCGAGTTCAGTTGTAGCCTTAAATTTTCACCCCATTGTGTAGTGTAAACATACTTCTCGTACTGACAATATAAGTTACAGACATAAGATCAGAAGCTCCTTTAGAGAAAGAAGCGAGAAACCTCTGATCTCTATTTCTCCCTTGTTAAAGAAGTCCACAGGACAGGATCTCTCATGCTAATTAACTAGCTATTGCGCCCATGTTAATAGGCTGCATTCTCTGTCTGTCTTTCTTAGAACAATGAAGAAAATTATGTGGATTTACTTCTGTTGAAAGGAAAAGGAGAAACTTAATGCGCAGAAATGCACTTGCTGTTCATGTGACACCTCTAATAGACCTTTTATTTGGTGCTTTGGCTTTCTAGAATATGAGGTCTTTTCTGTTGTGAAATCACAATTTGGCCTGATAAAACTAAGAGTTGCCATCATATAATCAGACTATATAGCATTAAAGCATAGTGGTGAAATGATTTTGTGCTGGCTAGTTGTACGTCAGTCTGATGTAGAGTCATCTGAATGGAGGGAACTCCAATAGAGAAAATGTCTCCATAAGATTGGGCTGTGAGGAAGCCTGGAAGGCATTTTCTTAATTAGTGATTACTGGGGAGGGCCCAGCCCATTGTGGGTGGGGCTACTCCTAGGGTGGCGGTTCTGGGTTCTATTAGAAAACAGCTGAGAAAGCCATGGGGAGCAAGCTAGTAAGCAGCACCATTTATAGCCTCTGCATCTGCTCCTGCCTGTTTGAGTTTCTGCCCTGACTTCCTCTGATGATGAACAGTAGTGTGGACTTGAAAGCCAAATAAACCCTTTCTTCACCAACATGCTTTGATCATAGTGTCTCATGACAGCAATCGAAACCCTAACTAGAACAGACTTCAAGTGTGGATGTTAGTAGAATTTAAGTCTTCCTTCCATCCTCTCACCTGAAATGACTTCTGGGATAATTACACATTGTTTTACCCTCAAGAATCCCAAATCCAGAGCGAGTGTAGCATGGGAAAGCAAACCTAGAAGGAGTAGGTAGGTAGCAGCTTTATAGTTTGAGAAAGCTGTGACTTTCTTTGGTAAGCCAGGCAAACTTAGTGTCACACTTCCTCTTCAGGCTAATAGTTACAAAGCTTTTCATTACTCAGTGTAACACTAGAAGAATAGCAACGTGTATTCTTATTTCCTGTGGCTTCTCTTGGTGCCCTATCACTGAGCCCCACTGAGTGTGAGCATGTGTGGATTCTTGTGAGACACAGGAAGTATGTTCAGTTACCATGCTTCATCCTGGAACTTAAAGATGTTACAGGCTACATAAAGTCAATTCTTTAACAGCCCCAATATAATTGTTCTGTTCTAAACAAACAAAAAATTATCTATCTTAGCCTGTAATACTTCCAAATCCTCACCCATCATCCCAGTTTTGGGGTGTTATATCCCAACAGCAATTCAAATCTTTCCCTTCATCCAAATCACTTTTAATCCCCAACCTTATCAGCCTATATTGATTTCAATACAATGACTTAAGTTAGGCACTGTGAAAACTTCATGATACCTTGAAAATATTAGATTGAGAATGAAAATATCTTGACCACTCTAATAGGTACATAATAAGAATCATGTTTGGTATAAGTCTGTGGTAACATTAATGGCACAACCTATGATTAAATGCAAAACAAATGCCAATTAGAATAGTTATTCCATTATGTCGGTCACCTAGGAGAAAACACTGCATTTTGCCTATTAAAAGTGAACTGTTTTCTGAAGGAACACGTATTTATTTGACACTTGTTTCTTGTCAGGTGTGGTTTCGGTGGAAAGAACAATGACCTTTTCTCTGAGTTTCTAGTCTTATGGGCAGAGAAAGAAAAGAAAAAATAAATCAGTAAAAGGCCCCGTTTGATAGCCAAGGAAGGGGACTGGGGTTATTGGGAATTGCAATTGAATCCTGGGTGGTAATCCTGCCTCAGCAAAGCTGACCATCCTAAATGACAGCAACATCCAAGAGTGCAGAGTTAGGAAGCTAGGTAGGTTCCCAGGGCTGGCATCCCTGGTGGAAAACAGAAAGCAAATAGAACATTTCTAAGGCTGCTGTAACAAGAAGGCAAGGGAGGAAAAATGGAGGTGGACTAGAAGGAGCTCACTGGGAAGGCCGGACAAGAAGCTGACAGTGCAGGGTTCTAATAGGACAGTCTTCACCTTTTACCCTTGAACACTAGGAGCCTTTGGTAAAAACACATAAAGTCATATGTTTTTATCTTAAAGTTTGTAAAGGCATTTACTGCCAAGCCTAATGACTTGAGTTTGCTCGCCATCACTCACATGGTGGAAAGAAGGAACTGCCTCCTGCAATTGGCCCTCTGAGGACAGGCATGTTATGTCATAGCATGCAGACCCATCCTCTACCACTAAATAAATAAGTAAAAGATTCTGTTAGTCTACCTGCTGCTTGCACCGAATTTAAAAAAGAGATGGAGACATAAGGAGACTCATTAGGAAGCTTTGCAATAGTTCAGGGAGAGGGGCATGATACGCAGGGCAACGTGTTTGCTGTGGAGAGGAAGAAAAAAGAAATTTTATATAGGGCCTATTTTGACAGCTATAGGAATTCACAAAACCAAGTCATTTCAATTCATGGCTTACAAAGACTCATCTCTCACAAATGAGTTTAAGTAAACATAGTCTATTCTGATATCTGTCAAATCACGTTTGATAGACAAGTCCTATGAGAAATGTTTCCCACTAAGTAGATGTTTACTTGTTTAGTTTCAGACCCTAGGACAAGGGGCTGAGGAGCATATTTTACTTACCAAAGCAGATCTGAGCTCCAGGTTTTCCCAGCATCCTTTAGTCCCTACCTGGCATACCCAGCTCCCAAACCTGAACTTTCCAGCCCAGGGGCTGGGCTGCCCTTTCCCCAGAGGCTCTTCCCTGTATAATCCAGACAGTTTGGTCTCTGCCAGCCTCCACACCCCACTCTCTTTCTTTCTTTGTGCTCACTCTTTTCTTTCTCTTAGCTCTCTTCTCTCTCTCCCTTCTCCTGATGTCTTCCCTGAGGCTAGTGAACTGGAAACAGCTTCCCAATAAGCCAGTCTTTAACCTTTAAACCTGTCTAATCTGGCTTGAATGGCTCATTTTACCAGTGGAGAAATAACTTATCACTTATCTATACAGACAATGCCAAGTTCTCTTATTTTGTTAAGTATGGGAGCAATACTCATTCCAGTTAGGGGAAACCGTGGTGTGCTAGACACAAGGTGTTTTGTTTACCTTAGTATAACTCCGAGAAATAGCAAAGGTCAGGAAAGTAGAAGTATTTCCCTGCAGAAAGAGTTTGCATCTCACTGTAAAAGAAAACAAGCTGGCATTTGCTCTTCCGTATGCCTTACATATGTATGTCTTACAACTGTAAGCATTGCCAGAATCAAAGACCAAATTTCAGTACAGCTGCCATGGACATTCAAAGACATTACATACATTAACAGTTGACAAATTACTTCCCGCTCCCACTCTCCCAGGACAGTTCCTGTTCTTCCTTCTTGTAGGAATGCTGGCCCTTCATGATCGATGTTTACAGTGCTGTTTCTATCATAAAATACAGCACTTGGGGGCATAATTTGCTCTCTCTCTCTCTCTCTCTCTCTCTCTCTCTCTCTCTGTGTGTGTGTATGTGTGTGTGTGTGTGTGTGCACACGTGTGTGTTTTTCTTCAAATTCCCTCATTTGTTTGGGGATAAAAGATCAGCAGTGATATACACAGCCGAAGTTACTGCTAGCTTATCTAAATGAGTTACATAATTCCCTGTGCCTTCCGGGGAATGGGGGAAGGGCTTGTTCAACAGATAACTGCCTATTGACAGTTATAAGGAAACCCTAGGAAATGGTATCGAGGAAGAACCCCCTGTCTCTAGGATGGATAAGGAACTGGGCTTTCTACAGAAGCAGTCCTCTCTTGTGTGCAAATCACAGGGCACTCCAATTAAAAGAACAGTGGAAATAGGAGACACGCCTCATCTCCACTTCCTCTCTACCTCCCCTCTCCTCCCCTCTCCTCCCCTCTCCTCCCCTTCCCTTCCCTCCCCTCCCCTCCTCTCCCACTTCTGTCTCCTGAGTTTTCATGTTTAGGTCCTAGAGTCTAGGAGTTACCAGAGGGAAATTGGATAGATTCAATCAAAACTCCTGTTTCACCACCCTTGTCTTGTATAACTATGTGAATCTCCTTGATTACCCCCATTCCTAATCCCCACGCTACACACACACACACACACACACACACACACACACACACACACGGAGAAAGGAAGGAAGAGGGAAGGGGGAAGACTTATTAATCTGTCAGGGAGCCTCTACCAGAATAAGCGAACAGAGCAGAAATGGAGCCCAAATGAACAAGCAAGGCGCGAATAGGAGATCAGTCCATCTCTCTTATAAACCCAATAAGGGTCCTTCCAATATTAGCATCTCTGCAATCTACCTGGGGAGCAGCAGAATATCCTACTAACCACTAAAACCGCCCCATCCCCCCTCCCCCGCTTCTAGTTCATTCCTAACCTGCTAACCCAGCACAATTGCCCTTTTAAAAAAGAGCTGAGGAGTTGGGTGGTTAAAACTACGAAACAAAAAGTCAAGGTTCAAGTCTTGCAAGGTGTACTATACAGCCGGAAAGGGGCAGGCACAGGGAGTGGGGCAGGGGCTCTCCCATTCTGGGCTCCGTTTCCCGGGGAACCCCACATTTTCTCAAGTGACGGGAAGCAGGACAAATGCATCGGGATCTAGGAGAAAGCGGGAGCCCCCACCCCTGCCCAGTGCATCTCATCAGGTTACCCAGAAAAACTCCTGGACCTCCACCTGGGCAGAGGCTCCAGCCTACTCCAGAAAAACTAGGAAGACTACCTTGGTGCAGGAAAGACCAACAGGGGCATCTCCCCAGCCTTCTAAGCGAGAAGGAGGAGAGGAAAACTTATTTCCTTCTGTAATCCCCCAAGCGCAGGACACCGGGATGCATGAACTCTGGGAGAGGTACGCTCTCCCTTTGAGATCTCACATCCATAGTGTCCCAGACCTGTCCCACAATCTAGAATATCCTACCACCTGCTCCAACTGGGAGTCAAAGCGAAAAGCTGATTCTACACTCGCTCCGTTCCCATGACCGGATCAGACACCCGCATCTTTCCTCTCATACCTCATCCCATCAATAAGAGATTTCTCAAAAGTCCCTTAAAAACACTAACTTGCAACTTACCTTTTGAAGAATCCTTCTGTTCGCCTATGTTGAAGCGGGATGGGTGTCACCGGAGGGAGGAAAGATCTGTTGGTATTTCTCCTGCTCAAACCCTAAAGATTGAGGAAGATAGGAAGAGACGCCCCCTTAAAGCCGAACTCCACCTCATCCAGGATCATGTGACGGCACCCCACGAGGATCACCCAAGGTTTCCCCCACAGCCTCCTCCCAACACCTCGGATGCACACCTCAGAGGTGCGTTGCCTAGGAATTCTGGAAAGAAAAGCGGTTAAATGTAAGCCACGCTGTCAGACCCGTACGCACAGATCTCTCACCGCGCTAGTCCTTGACTCAAGGAAGGCGCATTTCCAAGCCTGTTTTAAAAGTCAATGCCATCGCTCTTTCCTTTGTCTGCAGGTCAGTGCCATCTTGTGGCGAAGTCCTTTTCCTCCGAGAGTCCGAGCTTTAAGCCCGCGTTAAGAATGGGAGAGCTTATTTACGGGAAGGGGGACGGATGCACTTCACCGCAAAGCCTCCGCTAATGGGTTTGCCGCTGCTTTTGTGACGCTCAAATATTCCGCACGCCAGTACCGAGAAGTTATTTTGCCCAGTCTAAGAGAACAAAAAGAAGTCCTTTAAAAAGCCAAAGTAGCGAATCTCCGTTGAGAGCCTTTGAGCCCTTTTCCTCTTCACTAAGAAAGTGCATTTGAGTCAGATTTGTTCTTAGTGACGAGTTCCTTTATCGGGGAGCAGGAAACCGGGCCCGGGGCACGATGAACCCAGCATTTTCCTGTTGGTCAGAAAGAGTCGATGCAGTTTCCCCGGTGATTTATCCCCAGTATGGAACATTGTGGGTGTGTTCAAAAGACATGGTCCTTGCAAACCTTGTCCTTGGTATTTGATGGTTCAGGCTAATTATTTGACACACTGATTTCATAATTCACATGGTTTTATTTCACTTTGAAAAGTCAATGCTGAGTAATGCACACACACACTCAAACACACATGCATACACACACAATCTACTTATCCTGGAACCTCAACTTGTTTTAATCAAACTATTATCAAGTAGGGAATCTACAGAGGTTGCCTAGGATGTACACATTTCATTACAAAATAACAAAGATTATCTGCCTTTAAAGTGAAAGCCAATGAAGTTCCATGACACGAAATCACATGAAACTTACACTATTAAGAAAGAAAAAAAAGATTTTCTTTTCTAAGGGTTAGCTTGAATAGGAATTATTTATCAATACAAATTTGGTTAGATTCACACATAGAGATGTAGATAATCTCTGGGACTATTTTGTGGGAAAGTTAAAATATTTATAAGTGGGCACACTGTTCTATGATTGGAAGAGGACTATGATCAGATTAAAAATGCACAGTGTTTGTAGGACAATAAATATGCATGTCCGTTAAACCCCTCTAATGGTTTAAAGCAAAATGTCACACAACTGATCACACACGAGAACGGAAATAGGAATGGAAAATTTAGGGATTACGGTTTCTTTACAGTGCTCTCCTGTCCTCCTTTGGGACACTCCTACTCACCCCGTGTGCTCAGCTCCCCTGAGTCACACCGCTCTTAGGAGTATTTCCTACATTAGCTCACCACACTTGCTAGCTTTAGTCTGTCATGAAAACCACGGGCGAAATGGTTCAATTCGTTACCAAGAGTATGTCTTCACGGGCTATCATTCACGCCAGGAACTATTTTGGATTTGAGAATATAATCTGGACTTGGGTACTTATGTGTTCTCCAAGAATCCTAGTGAAGTTTTTCTAAAAAGTCTGCATTAATATGACCAATTGCAGTTTGTTTTATTACCTTAGTTTCTATAAAGTGCTCCCTCAAGGCAAATTTATAAAGCTGGGCTTCTAAGACGTGAACTTCACAAATCAGTCTTTCAAAGATTATTGCTCGGCAAAGATTTTTATGACGAACTTTAGGGTATAAAGTTTGGAAATGCTCATCAACTGCATACTTATATAACGTTAGAAAGACCATTTATTGAAGGCCGTCTTCATCACGCAAGGTAGAGAGACTACAAACCCTTCTAATGTCATCTTATGAGAGATTTACAATAACAAAGTCTGTATCCCTGTAAAGATGTGTGCTACATTTTAGGATTTCTTTTTCCTTTCTATTTTGACACAGTGTCTGTGGACCCCAGGCTGGCTTCCACTTGATATATGACAAAGGATATTATTAAATTTCTGATCCCCCTGCCTCTGCATCCCAAGCAGTGTTATTACAGCCCTAGGCTATCACACTTGGTTTGTGTGGTGCTGGGAAATGAACCCAAGGCTTCATGTGTATTAAGGAAGCACTGACAGCTGAGCTACGGCTCCAGTCTTCCTTTCCTATTCCCCAATGAATAGTCAGTTGCCAACTTCATTATTCGGGATTTGATAGATAAAAATCCCAGCTTTTCCTGGAAGAGATAACTGTTTATTTCCTTCTGAAATTTTGTAACAGACTAACGTAATGCCTTTGATTAAGATCACTAATGACATATTCTACTGGTATTTGGTCAACAGTTTCTTCCTGCCACATAAACAGAAAGGTGAACTTTGCTCATCAAATCTAAGTAAATATTAATTTTATTACTTAGAAAATAACAACATTTTAATGGTCTAGTCAAGCTTTAAAAATTCCATGACACAGTGCTGGGGATGCAGTGGAATATTACTGTCATCTAAATATTCCTGAAATGCTTCTAGGCCCTGACACATATTACTTTTCCATAGTGACCAATCAGATGAATCTTGAAAGGCATTAATACTCTATGTGAAACTAAATTGCAGATGAAGGATATTGATGGGAGATTCTGTCTGTGAGGTTGAACTTCCAATGAAATCCACTACTGAATCAGTTCATATTGTATGACTCAATTGTATGTCAAGTTTTCCCTTCTGGTACCCACTGAGTGCATAAGTCTGTGCGTGATGCCAAACAATGCAAGGTGCCATGCCATATTACTAAATAGTCTTGTGTCTAGGAAAACACAGGGAGAAGAGCCTTCAGCAAATGAAACGAAGTTAAGAGTATTAATCTTGAGATGGGAATGTGGTGCATACCTTCAATCCCAGCACTCGGGAGGTAGAGGCAGAGAGAGCTCTGAGTTCATGGCCAGCCTAGTCTAGGGAGTGAGTTCCAGGACAGTCAAGACTACACAGAGAAACCTTGTCTTGGGGGGAAAGAAGTATTAGGAATTTTTTGAGTCCACATAGTAGTAATTAAATACAACAGATAGGCAACTTGATTAAACGCTTACAGTCAAATCGCCCATATCATTTTATTTCTCTTTTTGAGAATAGTAACTAGCAGAAGCAACAATTTATTTACAATACATACACATGTACTAAGGTAAGCAACTAAAGCTCTCCTCTGTGAAGATGGTATCTATTCTAGTTTCGTCTCTGTGGCTGTGGTAAACACTGTGACCAAAGGTGACTTATGGGAGAAAAGTTAAACTTTTCAGCATATCATTGAGGGAAGGAAGCAAAGACACTCAAGCTGGAACTTGAAGCAGAAACCATGGAGGGATGCTGATTTATAGATCTCTCAGAGGCTTTATCCCTGACTAGCTTTTATATATAGTCCAGGACCAGCAGCCCAGGACCAGCAGCCCAGGGAATGATGTTGTCCACACAAGGCTGGGCCCTCCTATATCAGTTGATGAGACAATGCTCACAGACTTGACCACAGGCCAGTCTGATAGGATCTTTCTCTCTACTGAAACTCCCTTTTCAGGTGACTCTAGGCAGTGTCAATTCAAGCTAACTAGGGTAGTGTCTGTATTCATTACTGTCTTAGTTAGGGTTTTACTGCTGTGAACAGACACCATGACCAAGGCAACTCTTATAAGGACACCATTAATTGGAACTACCTTACAGGTTCAGAGGTTCAGTCCATTAGCATCAAGGCAGGAGCATGGCAACATCCAAGCAGGCATGGTGCAGGAGGAGCTAAGAGTTCTACATCTTCATCTGAAGGCTACTAGCAGAATACTGGCTTCCAGGAAGCTAGGATGAGGGTCTCAAAGCCCACACCCACATTGACACACCTACTCCAACAAGGCCACACCTCCTAATAGTGCCACTGCCTGGGCAAAGCATATACAAATCATCACAGTTATGTTCTCATGAAAGTAGCTTACTGGAGGAAAAGTTTATCTTGTGCCCACAGTTCAGGTCATTATAGTCCTTCAGATCAGAGAAGACAGGGCAGTGGAAGTAGCTCAGTCTTCGGTGACCATCAGAGAGCAGAGAGGGGATAGGCAGCTCTCAGATGGCTGCATCCTTATTCCTTTCTTCTTCAGTCTGGAGTCCTGGCTAGTGGAGTGGTGCCTCCCATTCTCAGGATGAGTTTTCCCCACTCAGTGAATTCTCTCAGGAAACACGCAGGTACACTCAAGGACATGTCTTATTAATGGTGTTTCTTGATCCAATCAAGTTGACAATGAGACCTGACCATGACAATGTTAAAATCAATTTGGTAATTTGCCACAAATTTTCTAAAATAATATAGTACAAGGGATGATCTGTCGACATGTAAGACACCCATACTTTCTTCGGAAAAAGAATAGAATACACTCTTAGCACACACTAGGGTTACTTCTTATGGAAGGCTTACATTGTTGGTTAGCAACTGTTTGCACAGATCTACAAGTATACTGTGATGTCTCTGAGACAGTGATTCCCTCTCCCTGCTACCTCTTCAAGCTTAGAGCATAGAATCATATCTGGAAGGTTCCCCAATAAAGACCATATGTTTGGATCCCTTTCCCCTAGCTAGGATGCCTATGTTTGGCTTCAGTGAAACAGGATGCACCTAGGCCTGCTTTGACTTGATGTGCCAGGGTAGGTTGGTACCTATGGGAGGGTCTTCCCTTCTCAGAGGAGAAAGGAAGAGAGAATGGGTGGGGGACTGAAAGGAGAGAAGGGAGAGGTGGCTGAGATCTGAGATGGGGGTATAAAGTGAATTAATAAATAAATTAAGGAAAATGTGGTTACAATTGAAGTATTCTAAGCGTCTATTTATAAATACATATAGTATATGATTATATTATATATATGTGTATATATATATATACATATGAATCACATATATGCACATGCAATTTTAAATTGGAAAATTAACTTATAAAGATGAGTTGTACAGCCTATCTGGAAATGAGTCACAGACATATCTAATGCCATTACTTTAAAAGTACTGTTGCTTAAGAAGAACAGTACTTATTGGGAGTCAATAAAATGTTTGTGGTAAGCCTCTTTAGGTAGTTAGGATCCTCATCAAGTTGTTTGACAAAAGTGACTGCATACATGACTGTCAGCTGATATTTTAAAAAAACATCTCTCATAAAGACAACTTCATTGTTCACAATAGTATGCCTGCACCTCTTTTAAAACTCTAAATGTTAAGTTATAGGACAGTGATTACTCTTCCACAGATGTCACTGCAGCCAAAAGCATTGTAAAAAGTTTCACAACATATAGGAATTTGCCCTTTCCACATCTTTTAAGCATTTAAGACTTAAATGCACCACAATTTACCATAGAAATGCTTAATATGATAAAATTTTAGAGGGAGCACCACTCACCTAATAAAATAATATTTTCCTAGCTTGCATGCCCCACAACTGAACCTAATGTATCAGAACCATGCATCAGGAGAGAGTATGTCAAAGACTTTCAGTAACCATCCTTCACAAATGGAAACTATTGTTAAATTGGAGTGCTAACCTCACAGAAGTCACAGACGTGTTCCTCAGCAAAATGTTACCCTGGCACGGTTGTGCGATAATAATCCTTACTAGTCCCAAGTGCTGCGTAACTCTCTCCTCTTCAGATAAGCTTTCTTTCCTAGCTGATAACGATTCTCGGAAACTGAGAATTAGCCAGCCTCATTTTGTAACGTGCATAAAAATCCAACTTAATTTCCCAGGTGCGCATTTTATAAAAATGCCTACAGCAGAAGTGGACATTGCTGTTTCTGCCCCCCAGAGGCTGTACTTCCTCTGCCTGAAAGGTACTCAATAAAACAAACAAATTTACTCTATTATGTATTACAAAAGTAATGATGATTAGTCTCCAGTTCCTTTGGGGCCTGGAGATAAAAGCTCACATTTATGCTTGCCTTTTTATGCTGCACATGTCTGACATTTTCAGCTCTTACATACTCTTCCAAACAATCCTTAATAATTTGGTTCTTCCACATATCCTTAAAATTGTATAATAGATGTTTTTTTAGAAAAAAATCTTGACTTTTGCTTTCTTTATGAGTGTGTGCATTGTGTGTGCTCCTGTGTGTATTGTGTAAGGTGTATGCATATGTATGCTTACTTGTACATATATGTGTAGACATCAGAGGTTGACTTCAGGTATCTTCCTCTGCCAGTCTCCACCTTGGTGTTTGAGACAGCATGGCTCATTGGGCATGGAGTCCACTGTTTTCAGCTTTGCCTACTGGACAGTGAGTCCCCAGGATCCTTTGTTGTTATGGGTGCATGTGGCATGCTCAGCTTTAACATGGCTGCTGGGGACCCAACCTCAGATTGTCATGCTTGTGTCAGGTGTGTGGACATCTTGAAAATGAAAACAGGCAAGTTCAGAATCTTCTCATTGCCACACAAGCCTTTCTTTTCAATGTGCTAAAAGCAAATGTGTGGGAAAGGAAAAATTGTCATATTTTTGACATGGGATAGACAAGAAAGATCATGTAGCGCAGCCTATTTTTTTAGAAGGCATCCATCAAAGGTGTCTCTAAGAAGCTATTTGAGAAATCGTTGCACATTTGGAGTGTGTGTGTCAGACTGCAAGGGATGGGAGAGTAGATCTCCACCTGGCAACATGTAGTGTGTGAACTGCACAATAGCTAGCTTTAAGAAAGCCTAGGACCACGCCTTTGTCTGCTAAGACTTTGTTTGCTAAAAGTCAATCTCCTCTCTTCCCTCACTGCAGGATTCCAGGGCCCTGCTCAGGTACCTGCTGTGTTCAGCTATTGGGACAAATACAGTGTTTCTGAAATGAAACCCAGAAGAATCAGATGATATTTTCTTGAAGCCTTTTTGAAGTTCTTGGATTGCTTGGGCTGAGAGGATGACAAGCACTACAGTTTCCTGTACTGACTGTTAAATTAGCAGAAACGAGCAAATATCTTCTGCCTCTGAGACTCAGCTAGCAAATGCTACCCCGGGGGTTAGATTAACATGGCACATTATTCCCAAGGGATAAAAGTCATCTTCAGTTGACACAGTGCCTTCAGTCTTACGGTCCTGCCTTTGGCAGGCAATGCTGTGGGCTGTAATCATGGTGCAGGAAATACACTGTTGTTATGACAGGCCAACTGAGGATTGGCCAAATACCACGACAATCTTGAACAAAAGGCTACAGATCTATCAACCTTAAAAATGAAAATGAAGTGTTTTGGTACAATAAGACAGGATTTTATTTGTTTTTATTTGTTCATTTCTTTAGGTTGTCTTTATATTTTTAAAAGATGACACCCCCCACACACACACACACACTCACGCATTTTGTTACGAAATCTCCCGAGACAGGTTGATTCCACCCTCACTTCCCAGCTCCCTCAGTTCTATGTCCCTTGCTCACACCCACACTACTACCCCTTAGAGTAGGAGTTGACTCTATTGTCTATTTTGCACTCTGCATCACAGCGTGTTCCCTGCAGCTTTGAGTCAACTTCTTGCCTAGACTTCTTTATGTCAGAAAGGCAAGAAGATGTTCTGTTTGGGAGTTTGTTTTATTTTCTCCCTCTCATAAAGAAAACATGGGCCTTGAAGGTTTTTCCTCACAAAAGCTATCAGAAAAACGCCTACTCGCACACAAGTCACTATGAGGTTGAGAATAGGACGGACATACATCCGTGGGACCCCGAAGTTAACTCCTGAAACTAGAGCACAGGGTAGCGGGGATACATCCTGAAGCTCAAGAGCTGCTACCTGGGGCCTCCAAACAGACACACAGGCACTGGGGTGTACCTAAATTGGACTATGGGGGCCCGGAACGGGCGGTCTTGAGCCTGGTGTCCAGGGTCTCAGGGACTGTCACGTGTTCCCGAGGCGCTTCTAAAACCCTGGCGGCTCCGGGCCCCTCCTTCCCACTGCCGCCTCCAGGTCCTGCTCCTGCCGCCACCGCTTCCATCTCGAGCAGAAGCGACCGCGCTCAGCCGCGTACCCCGGAGTCCAGGCACCCGCAGCGGCCGGGGCATCCCGAGGTACCCACTCCAGGCCTCGCCTGCCCCTACAAGAAGCCCACGTCCCTATCTTGGGTTCTGGAGCATCTTGTGGTTTCCAAAAGGGTGGGTTGCAGACCGGGAGGCAGCCTGGTTGGGAAAGGGGATGGAGGTGGAGAAACCGCAGTTGTCAGGCGGCGGGAAGGGAGGTGGGGGGGGAACGGTTGCAGCTGAATCCTTCCTTGCCCGGCAGGTCCCTCCAGTGCCAAACTCACGGTGGAGCAGGCTCTTGCCAGACCCTATCGGATTCTCCCAGGAGGGTTCCAAGAATGGGAAGGAGGGATGGACCAAGCGAAGTCCCGGCTTTGGCTTAGGGGAACCCGGGGTACAGCTCGGTAGGCGTCTGAGGTAGGAGAACCGGTGCCCATGCCGGTTGTCAGCCCTAGCTGAGCTCTGGCGATGCCCAGGATTCAGCGATTCATCTGCCTTCTTGTCCCACAGCTGGCCACACACCGGGAGACAGCTGTGCACTTGGGTTTGCAAGGTGGCTTGTAAGTCAACTGAGAGCAGGAAATAGCCATCCACACACCTGAGTTCCAGGAGAAAAAAAAAAGGGGGGGGGGAATTCTTATCCGTAAGTTTACAGACCTATAGTTTCTCGCTATTCAAAGAAGGTGTTGTTAGATGGAAGCCAAAAGAAGAAGAAAAAGAAAAAGGTTTGCCATAATCTATGACAACAGCCCAAGACTGAATGCATTTCAAATGTCAGATGTCTCAAGGAGAGAGACAGTGTTGTTAAGAGTCTAGAATACAGAGAAAGGCAGTGGGTACTTGCATGCTTGTTAGCTGAAGAGGAATGTGTTTATTTGTCCAGGGCTATCTTTTGCAGAATTTTGCCTTGCAGAACAACACACAATACGTGGAGTCATGGAATCGTGCCATTGCTGCAAAGCCACAGCAAACAGGCAGTTGATGTTTTATCTCTAGAGAACTACATATATTCGATTTTTCTGCGTGATTGGCATCCTTTGCGAGAATGATACACAGTTTGGTTAAGCAGGGAATCATCCTGAGAGTAAAACCTTATTTAAGTGCATCGTAGATCAGTCTCCCTCTAACCTTTGACTCACTGTCGTTTCTCCCTTAGTACTTTAAAGAACTTACTCATCTTCGTTCTCAAAACCCTTAAAGTTTCCTCAGACGTCACTTGTCTTGGTGTTTCATACAGACCAATTTATAAGAAAATTGCAATAAATCCTCACAATGATATTACTTTCATAAAGTTGCCAGTTTAATGACTCTACCACCACTGACACACACACACATACACACACACACACACACACACACACACACACACACACACTGTGTTTCTTGGGAAACGGAACTCAAGCATTCCAGGTAGAATGTGTGACAGTGAGAAATGTCGCCACGTAAAAAAGAGAACAGGTTATAGAACTAGAAATGAAGAACTCACGTGGCTTGCAACATTCTTACTTCTGCAATAGTAAATATTTTTATGTAATTGTTAAAACACCCTGCCTTTCACGTCTTCTAAAGTAATCTAGGGTGAATTGAAAGTCTCTTTTCATCGTCTATAAAGGATTTAAGCTGTGTGAAGCCACTGTGAAGAGTTGGTTGTTACACTGTTGGAAAGCAGAGGATCATTGCATACATGAGGTTTCTGTGACTCATTTGTTTGTTTCAAAAAGAGGAAAATGAAAGGAGCAAGTGTAAGCAGGGGATCCTTTGACTTGTTATTTATCTGTTTATTTTGATTCCAAGCAGCTCCTCTACTTCACATTTTCAACTGGAAAACAGGTGACATATATCTTATTGGACAAAACTGCTTAGTGGTTAAACTGTCCTCTAACTGTAAGGAGGCAGTTTTAAAGAAACCAATTAATGTGTCCTCCCACACACGTTGAAGTACCTATAATTTGGTGGTGAGAAGTCTCCAAGGGAGCTAAGATCTGCAGACGGTACCTCGTGTTCAGAGTACCTTAGCTGTCATGTGTGTGGCTGTGCATGAGTGACGGGCAGATGGCGTGGCCATCTTCACACTCAGAACAGCATACTGAGAGTATTAGGTACTCAGCAAATGCTTGCTTAATGGCAAGGGATAACTATCTTACACGGATATTCATTCAACTGGCCTCCATTTTAAATTACCTATGGCTTTTACTTTCTTAAAACACAGAAGTACTTTAAAAAAGAAGGGTTATCATCCATTTTTTGTCACTACCCAATGAATCCTTCAGACATTATTTCTTTGAACTTCCAAGAAACAAGTAGCTTTCCGTTTTTAATAAATTCAACATTAGTTCTCACACATGTAAGACAGACATGGTCTAGTAAAAACTATGCAGTCGGGTATACATCTTCACCTCACTAAAAATGTTTTTGGCAACTTTAGTTTCCTGTTGGTCATGAGTCTTTATCAATGAAGATACTGCATGTAAGTAGGTGAAGTGCTAAACTATCATCATTGTTTATATAGAGATCTCATTGCAGGCTATATAAACCCCCAAATTCAGTGCGTGTATATATACATATGTACATAGATACACACATGTAGTCATACTGTATCCTAAGAATCCCCAGAGCCATTCATTTCTGTTATTTTAATTCTGGGAACATTAATCTACCATTCTGAAATGATTAGTTGCAGATATGTATGTAGCGTCTAATATGTCTGACATGCTTTATTACGCTTCTCACTATCATAATAATGAATACCTTTCTCTATCTCTAATCTAATCATTTAATCTAAACTAATCAAGAGATGAGACTTCTTTTTTTAGGGATGATATGACTTTTGACCCTACACTATATACATGTATAGTCGTGTGTGTGTGTGTGTGCTGGATCCTGAACCTAATCCCTCTCACTTGCTAGAGAAGTAAGCACTCTACCAATGAACTATAGCCTTAGCCCTTCAAAACCATGCTTTTTTATCACAGAAAACCCCCTCACTGCATTTCTTTATTCTCTAAAAAAATTGACAGCAATTTTATTCTGAATGTTATATAGCAAGAAAGCACAAATCCATTGTAGATGTCTCTGTTCAATTTGTTGCTTATCCTTGCTTTGGTCACAGGGAAAAAATCCAGTTAGTGACTACTGACCTACCACACAAGTTTAAGAGAAAAAGGTTGATTCAAAAAAAGTGAGTGCGCAGCCAAGCAGGAGCATGCTTGCAAACAGGCCGTGCACACCCCAAGGATAAATAGAATCATAAATAAGGCACACAGAGCCCAGCACTCATCAGAACTCAGGAAATGGACTGAGGCACGAATGGAGACTGCTTTCATTAGAAGCACACTGACTTACCCCGATGCTGAACGGTATTGTCTTGTCATATGGTGACTGGGATGATTCAGGGATCGTGGGAGTCACTTTCATACCAGCTAGCCTCTTTCTCTTTCCCTTGAGTTAGAACCAATGGAAATTACGGGTTAGGGTCTAGGGACAAATGAACAAGGTCTGGAGTTTTTGATTTAATGTATCTTTGGAGGTGTGTGTTAGCTTCAGAAAGTTGTCCCAGGAGTGTGAAGTCAGTGCTGGGAGTTTGTAGGAAAAAACAAAGATGCAGGACGCTGACTTTTAGGTTTGATCTTGATAAGAAATAAAAAAATTTGAAAAGCAAGATAATAGGCTAATATACTTTAGACACTTTGACTAGAGAATAATAGCAATAGGCTATTACAAATTATATAATAATATAACTGAAGTTTTTCTGTGCATTTTTCTTTTCCATTCCTTATGTTATTTCTGAAATAAAATTGAAAAACAGAGTTTGCGACTTGAGCCGAGCTAACAGTGTCTGAAACTGGTGATAGATTTACGTAATTATTATTGCTGAATTTGTACCAAACTTAGAACCCCAAACTGGCCCTTTATGATCTTAGAGGTTTGTAAGGGAGGTTGTGGGGGCAACCTCTAGACCTTAGTTTTGTTCTGAGTATGTTAAAGTTATAGTAGCATGCAATTGATCTTCAAGCTGCTAATGGACACCGTCTCCTTTCAAGCAGAACTCTAGTATGGAGGTTAAACTTGAAGAGGATTTTAACAAGACATTTGTCACAGAGAACAATACTGCTGCCAGTCGGAACACTGACTTCCCTGCCTGGGAGGACTACAGAGGCACAGAGAACAATACTTCTGCTGCTCGGAACACTGCCTTCCCTGTCTGGGAGGACTACAGAGGCAGCGTAGATGATTTACAATACTTTCTGATTGGGCTCTATACATTTGTAAGTCTTCTTGGCTTTATGGGAAATCTACTTATCTTAATGGCTGTTATGAAAAAGCGGAATCAGAAGACTACAGTGAACTTTCTCATAGGCAATCTGGCCTTCTCTGATATCTTAGTTGTCCTGTTTTGCTCACCTTTCACCCTGACTTCTGTCTTGTTGGATCAGTGGATGTTTGGTAAAGCTATGTGCCATATCATGCCATTCCTTCAGTGTGTGTCAGTTCTGGTTTCAACTCTGATTTTAATATCAATTGCCATTGTCAGGTATCATATGATAAAGCACCCTATATCTAACAATTTAACAGCAAACCATGGCTATTTCCTGATCGCTACTGTCTGGACACTGGGGTTTGCCATCTGTTCTCCGCTCCCAGTGTTTCACAGTCTTGTGGAACTTAAGGAAACCTTTGGCTCAGCATTGCTGAGCAGCAAGTATTTGTGTGTTGAGTCATGGCCCTCTGATTCATACAGAATTGCTTTCACAATCTCTTTATTGCTAGTTCAGTATATCCTGCCTTTAGTGTGTTTAACAGTAAGTCATACTAGTGTCTGCAGGAGTATAAGTTGTGGATTGTCCCACAAGGAAAACAGACTTGAAGAAAACGAAATGATCAACTTAACTCTACATCCATCCAAAAAGAGCAGGAACCAGGCAAAACCCCCCAACACTCAAAAGTGGAGCTACTCATTCATCAGAAAGCACAGAAGAAGGTACAGCAAGAAGACGGCATGTGTGTTACCTGCTCCAGCAGGACCTTCCCAGGAGAAGCACCTAACCATTCCAGAAAAGCCAGGCTCAGTCCGTAGTCAGCTGTCGCCATCCAGTAAGGTCATTCCGGGGGTCCCAATCTGCTTTGAGGTGAAACCTGAAGAAAGCTCAGACACTCACGAGATGAGAGTCAAGCGTTCCATCACAAGAATAAAACAGAGATCTCGAAGTGTTTTCTATAGACTGACTGTATTGATACTAGTGTTTGCTGTTAGCTGGATGCCACTCCACGTCTTCCACGTGGTGACTGATTTCAACGATAACCTGATTTCTAATAGGCATTTCAAGCTGGTTTATTGCATCTGTCACTTGTTAGGCATGATGTCCTGTTGTCTAAACCCTATCCTATACGGATTTCTTAATAATGGTATCAAAGCAGACTTGAGAGCCCTTATACACTGCTTACACATGTCATGATTCTCTCTGTGCACCGAGGAAAGAAGAAATGTGACTGCCCACAATACATCTGTGCTAATTGACACATAACTTACATAGAAGTGTTCTGGATCTGAATGCCAGTTCATAATCTATGTAAGATCATTTTAATGTTGTAATGTGGTTAATTCAGTCAGTTGTACAGAGTCAATGTCGATCTAATGAAATTTCATGTTTTGAAGTAGTTACATCACCTTCCATTTCATGTCATTGGTAATAAGTTGAGTGATACTCTTTGGTTTAGTGTAAAAATTATAGCTATCCAAATTGTTATTTTGTACAAAAATGTAAGAAGAGAAAAAGTTGTCCCAAAGAATATTTAACTACAGATTTAAGTAATTTCTATTGTCTAGGTATCTTCATTTCCATTTCACAGGCTTCTTAACATTTTTTTTTGTAAAAGTAAAAGATATTCAAAAGTCAGAACTCTATTACAGATGTATGCATAAAACATGATTATAAATTTATAGGAGAAAGATTCACTCCTATTATTGAAGACTGGTAAAATTGTCAGACTAATCCAGCTGTCCTACTACTAATATTTAACTTATCAAATACAAAAAGCTTTTAGATTTTGTTTAGATTTATATCACATTAAACACTGTCAAAAAAGGCTGTTTTCATATGCATCTTTGATGTTCTAAAATGTGAAGTCTAGATGATGTCTGTATTTCCAATTATTAAATAACTTATAAAACTATTTTTAAGAGTCCATAGATGGTATGAATAGTCAGTCATTTGTTAATACAAAATAAATGTAGATAACTTACTTCATGTTGTATCTATGTTGTATGCATATTAGGTATCGTGTTGTCTCGCTAAAGTGTTTTCTACATTTGAGTATTTTTTTTCATTTGTTTGTTTGGTTTTATTTGCAGAACTGGAGCTGGAACTGAAGGCCTTGTGCCTACTAGCTCATGCTCTATCCCTGTCTCCAGCTCTTATCCAGAGCTAAGTTCTATAAAAATAATTGATGATCAGCATATATAAGCCAGATGCACAAAATAGTATCGAAGTCCTCAGTACTGTAGCTGATTCAAGCATTCCCCTGAATTGATTCCTGCTAACCACAAGGAAAAACAATAAAACAAATGACCCACCTACCTGAAAGACTCTTTAGGTTTGCAAGCAACAGGCAATTCTTGTTTACTCAATTAAAAGTCCCAAATCTTTACAAGGGGTTTCTTTCTACAATTATTCATTCCTGGAAGAGGTGGATACACAAAGGAAATTGCTGTGCTTTCCTCTGGCATGGAAAATGGTACTTGATCCCAAGGTGTTCTCTGATGGGCTTTAGCCGAGGTCTTACCAGCCTCTTTTCTACTATATAATGTATAGTCCCTTAGTGAAGTCAGAGCCTTAGAGACAACCAGAGTAGAACTTTAGTATTAAGTTTCATCCACACTTAACCATATTGTTCCAAGAGACAGGGACATCACCTTTGGTCAAGTCTGGGAACTGTTGGGTACTTTACAATCACCCCTGAGATTCATGAGAACTAATGAAATTTTCATGTGGGTCTTTAAGGGCACATACTACCAGCATGTCTGCTACACCACTCTTCAGGATCTGACTCGTGTCTGCACATGAGCGTTCTCTCTTCTCCTTTTGTACACTTTCAAATATGATCATGGCCATATGCCCATGTGTTTTTAGTTTCCCTGCAATTCATCTGGATTTACATGAATGCCCCTCTAGCTGGGGTTACACGAATAACACCCCCCCTCCATGTGCTTATATCACTACTGAAAAAAGGAGAAATCTAGCTTTGGTTTGGCTTTCCTTCCCCTCCTGATTTTTAATACTAAGGGCTTCTGCTTAATTGTTTTCCTTAGTAAAATATCTCTCACTGCACCTTCCTACTTCTCTGCCCTGTGTGTAGCTTACAGTACAGCTTTGATTAGGACAACCAGCTTTATTTTTGGAAGCCAGGCTTTCATTGGGAAAACCACCTTGCTGTATTTGGATCAAACTAAGGTCTCACTGTGGACAAAGAAGAGTCTTGGCAAGAGAATGAGCTCATTTAAAGCAGTAAGCATTCTCGATTTCTCCAGGGCAGCCAAGTTCAAGGTTTGCTGTTAGATGAAATAGAAAGCAACACCAGTAAAGGACAAAAATAAATACACAGACACATACCCACTCCTTTCGATAATCCAATAGCAAAAACTGCACAGTGATGGCTAAGCACCTCAGAATTTATAGCTATTGATTGATGAATATGGTTAAAGTAAATAATCTAATAGGAGGCTAGTAAACTATTTCTTCATCACTGGGACAAAATGTTCATAAAGTAATTGGAAGTTAAGAAGTACCAGTGAGTTGTTGGCTAGACGCCACTGAAGCTGGGACTCATGGTTTTAGAAAGTTATCATAATAATTTCTTCCATGAAGCCCTGTTAGTGAGTTCAACAGTCTTCCTTCAGTCGTTTCTCCATTGCTCAATGGGTGATTACATTATTGTGTTTCGATTCTCTCCTGGGATCTGGCATCATTACTTGTTCAACAGCATCCACTGAAAACCAAGGCTGGGGGAAATAGATGGAGATGAAATTATAAGCAGTCAACCTCATTACATTTTACACAATTATTTTAAAATATCTAATCTAGGAAGTGGGTTCAGTTGAATCTTTGTGGTTATTTAGATTTTCCCTGCTGTCTCTTACACAGTACAGTGGGCCATAAACATGCTTCATGGAAGAAAATAAAAGCTGAGGACAGTGCAAAGAGCAAGTAAAATGACAAAGTCATGAAGAACTCCATGTTCAAGTTATTCTAGTAAGTACATGCCTGGCAAACACCCGCTGCTGTGGTTTCAACGCGTTCTTTCCAACTCATGAGGAAATTTAATGGCCACTGTATCAAGGGAAGGCACATTAAGAAGTGTTACATGTTGGAGACTGTTCCTTATTTCTGGGTTAGTTGTAAAAGTATGGGGTGTTTATATGTCCTAACTTGCTTTTGATTAAATGACACAGAGACCTTTTTTATTTATTAATAAGCTCAGACACTATATGTGGGCAGATACTCAGCTATTCTAACTCAACTACACTGGCCTGGTCTACGTCTCAATAACTGCCATCTTGGTCTTGCTCTAGCCTCCTTCCTTTGTGTCTTCATGGTGACTTTCCAGTTCTTATCTGAGACCCTCTGCCTTTCTTGGGGCACAGAAGCTCCACCTTATCCTCTCCTGCCCAGCTGTAGGCTGATCAGCTCTTTACTGACCAATCAGAAGATAATGGATAACAAAGTTTTACAAAATATCGGATCAGGAAATGCTTCATAATAATGACAATTCCAAAATCTGTACTGCAACCAGATCTCTGGGATACAGAAATCAGCACTAGAATACATGGTGGACAAAATCACCACCACTTTGTTCCTCCAAGGGAGTTGTGACACAAGGGAGTTTGGCTGCCTTCAGTCACCTCTCTTAGTTTCATGTGATCGTTTGCCACATGACACCTTCCACCACGTAGAGCATGAAGGCCTTCACCAAATTCCAGCACTTTGGTTTTGTGCTTACAACTGTAAGCAGTACATTTCTTTATAATTATATCCCAGTTTGGAATTATCTGTGATAGCAACAGAACCCAGACTAAAATGTAGAGTGTTGCCAGGCCTCTCCTGAGTGCTTGGGATATAACTGCATAATCAAATAGGCATTATGTAATCAGCCCATGAACAATGGAGATATGACTAAACAAGAACTAAGCCACAAAGCAGGGCTCCACGGAAGACTTATTATTCATAATAGTTTTCTAAAATCATGAATACTGATCTTAATGACTTCTACCTAAGAAGAATAGGCAGAGACCCAGAGAACTCGTGCTCATTTGGTATTTTCCTTCTGAGAAGGAGAAAGCCACTGATGGGGAGTGTAAAAGTCATAAGGAATAATATGCAAAACAAAATCACATAGGAATAATATAGTACATAGAAAAATGCATCATTTTACAAGACTGCTATGACTAAATACCACAGGTGAGGTGACATAAAAGAACAGACATGTATTGACTCACAGGTCAACAAATTAGAAGTATAACCCAGTGTGCTTATAGGGTTGTACTTGCAGCTTAGTGTCCTTCCTAGCTACTGTGGAGAGCTGGCCATCTCTGGTGCCACTCACATCCAAATAGCTCCAGTCTCTGTTCTTTTTATCACACGGATTCAAATGTCATCCTTCTAAGGACAGTATCCCTATGGGGTTGCCACGCCAGTAGAATCTTAACTAGCTAAGTCTATTAGCTATTTTTGTGTAAAATGCCTACATTTCCAAATAAGGTTATATTCTGAGACACAATGCAACCCTCAACAGTATTTTTAGTCATTGTTAGTAATGATGTGAGCCGTAGAGCCATACCCTACGATCTGAACAGGAAAACCTGTGCTGAAAGGTTGAGGAGACGTAGATGAAAATTCATGTGGGATGATGGTTCCAGAGTGCTCACGATAAAACAAACAAGGAGACAACAACAGAATCAACATCATCATCATCGTCATCATCATCAGCAGCAGCAGCAGTAACACTCCTGGGAAATGCAGAAAAGACAAAAACAAAAACAAAACAAACAAACAAACAAAAACGGGAGAAAGGTGAGAGGGCTCTAGCAGGGAAATGAGAAGTAGAAATTCTGCAAACCAAACAGAACCAAACTGAACGGAACTGAACCAAACCAAACCAGGAAGAGATCATTGCAAAAGAAAATGAGGTAAGGAGCTCATTCAGTGACAATCTTTCAGGTACTTAAAACCACAAATAGAGATGTGTACCCAGCAATCACGGTTATGACCCGAGATAGGACTTACATCCAATCTGCACTAAATGAATCACTCTAACGTGAGAATAGTCTGAGCATTCTAAACACCTGATATGCCAGTTCCACTACTTCTCATACATTAATTAGGTCAGGTACATAGATAAAAGTTACTTTACTTTAATCTATTATGTGGTTGCCCAATGCCACAATTCTTTAAGGAAAGACAGGCAAAAGGATGATAGCATCACTTTGTTGCTTGTCAGGCAGTGATCAACTCCTGGATCTAAAGACAGGGTGACTCTGGATGCTACCTTACTTGCCTTTATTGAAGGAGCTCAAACATTTCCTGCAAGAGCCCCCTTCCTGTTGTTGTCCTCAGCTCCTTTGTTTTGGTAGTTTTTGGTTGCTTTTTTTTTCTCCTCTCCTATTTGTAAACTATGGCCAGAGGACAATATTATTCACAACAGTAGCAGATTTCAGGGTTCCTTTATGTGCAGTGAATCCAAACTGATAGAAGGAATTTCAAGGAATGAGAAAGATCCCCTCTCAGGAGCCTTAGTTCTGTTGTCAAGGGTGAGGCAGACCAGGTCATCTGGAACACTTTGCTGCTCTTGTTCTCCAGGCTCTTGGTGCATAAGTCAGGCTAAGGCTATGGCAGGGTCCGGTGCAAACTAGACGTTTTCTCAAGAGAGCTGAAAAGCCAGTGCTCTTTAGCTCCTGAAAGGAGTGTTTTAGGAAATAAAATTTTTCAGAAACCAGAGTGACCATACTCTGACACTCTCAGATCCACAGCAGAAGTGTTTCTGAGAGCAGTAAGAAAAGGTTGTCAAGATATTCCAAGTGCCCTTGTGTTTTATACATGAAAATTCTTGTTGTTTCTAGTATTCCACCGTAAATACAAGCCTCAGTCTTATCTGTCATTACTGGCCTGATCTAACTTAAGGTCGTATCTAACTTAACAGGTATTTTATACATTTTCCTGCAGAAATAATAATTTTGTTATAGAATAC